CCCCAAAACCCCAAAACCCCAAAACCCCGCTAGAGTTTATATGATTTATATCTCTTTTCTAAAAATATAAATAATAATAATCAAATCAATTATATATTGATGGTTCAATCAATTCTAGGAAAAATCAAACAATTTCAACTTATCTTTACATTAATATTTTCCTTCCTTTATTAGACTTGAGGTAAAACTTATTGGTAATCAATTTAATATTAGGTGGACCCATTTTGACATCGATTTCACTTGGCAATAAATAAATAAATCAGATTACAACATATACTTTTACTTTAACATTATCAACAGCAATAACTGACTCTTCTTCTATTGTAATTACGTTCCCTGCAGCATCTGGAATTGCAACAGTTGCTACTGGAACTTTGACTTGTGCTGGAATCACTGGGTTTAAGAAAACCCCAACATGTACAGCCACAACCACGACATCTATTAAACTTACATTTAGCTCTGGAACTATTAACACTGCAACTTTCCCCCTATATGTATTTTCTGTAATTATTTCAATGATTTGAGATCAATCAATATTTAGATAAGCAATATTAAGAATCCTTTATCAGGTAAGACTGTGAATACTATAGAGCTATAGACTCTAACTGGCTCAACTGTATTAGATACAACAACATCGGCTTCAATTACCTTTACATCTTTGACATTAGCTTCTTCATCTGGTTCTTTGTCAGCCGCAACTCCAATTGCCGGGAGTTACTCATCATTGACGATATAAGTTACAACAGGTACAGTAGTACCTATGACTGGGAAAATTGTAATTAATTTCCCCAAATGGGAAGATTCTACTCTTGGTAAGTCATCTCCAGGAACAATGCTCGATTAAGTAGTTTCTTGTTCAGGCGGAGGCAGTATTTTAAGCGCATCTCCTACTTGTGCTGCTACTATTGGTTCTAGTCAAGATAAAATTGTCGTAACAAATCCATTCGCTAATTTAGCTAATGATCTAAGTGCAGGAAATACTATTTCTATAACAATAAATAATGTAAGAAATCCACCAACGCTGAAGCCTTACTCAACATATGAAATTCAAACTACAGACGCTAGTTTGAATCCAATTGAAACTTGTAGTGGACTTAAACTAACTTTAACAACAGTTGGAACATTACCAGTTGATACTATTGTTAGAATTATCAACAATCAAATCGTGAATTCATTAGGAACTTATATGTTTATCGTGACTACAACAAACCCTATTCCTGTAGGAGGTTGGATCAGAGTTATTCTACCCTCAGAGGTGACAGCTTCAAGCACTCCTAGTTTTACATCATTGGTACCTGCACTCGCATCATCTCCAACATTGACAATGACAGGCACATAAATTGATATAAAAAATTCTGTCTAGAATTATATAAACGAAGGTCAAGCATTTTCATTTACACTAGCTAACATACAAAATCCAGTTTCATCAAAAGCAACCTCTTCCTTTTAGATATACACATTCGATGAATCGAATTTCGGGATCGATAAATAAATAACTGGTTTAACTGTATCAGCTTCGTAAGGTGTATTAACTAATGTCAAAATAAAGCCCCTCAACTTAACTGGTGTGCTATAATATGCTTAGAATTATTCTATATCTTTTACAATAGCGAACGCATTAGATACTACTTCTCAGATCTAGATAGTATTTGACAGTAGTAGTTTAGGATACGTCGTAGGCACAAGATCATGTCAGTTATACGGTCTTACAGCAACTTACACTTGCTGGGCAGAATCTTCAACCAATACGATCACAATTTCAAATTTCCTAAAGGCAAGTGTAGCAAAGTTGACTACCATTACATTTTCAATTGGAAATTTATTGGTAAGAAATCCTCCTACCACAAAAATTGCACCAGCTTATAAAATTACCACACTAGTAAGTAGTTCCTCTGTTGACACTGATAATTCAGTAACTTACACGCCTACTGAAACTCTAATAACCAATTTCAGAATCATACCTAATAGTAATACCACTAACTAAGAAGATGTAGTTTATTATTTCTACATGAGTGTCCCTGGCTATTTATTACAAAACTCTTATTTCACAATTACTTTACCTTCTGATGTAACAATTTTCAATACTAATAATCTGGTCAGGAATTGTGGGAAACGGGGATTAATAGGATTTAAAAATTCTACTTCTTTAGACTGTACTGTTTCTGGCTAAAAAATAACAATAAAAAAAGGATTCGTTTCTTCAGCTTCTGATGACCCAGCAACTTTAGTATTTTCTCTCCCTCATCTCAGAAATCCTAGATCATTAGCTTAAACAGGATATTTTACAGTTTCATTTTATGACAGTTCTGACAAGTATCCAACATTTATAATTGCTAATGGTTCGAGTGTCTAAATGGACAAGATAAGTACAGTTAAAGGAGTAACAATCATTCGAGGTTCAAAAACTAATGGAGCCCTAACAACATATAATATATCATTCTCTTTCGGCAACCAAGTTCAAAACAGTGATAGCATTTTCATTACATCAAATTAAGAAAGCGGCCCATTTTTTTCAAGTTAGACTAAGTGCTTAGGTATAAGCAGCAATTTCTAGACAACTAATTAAGATTTGAAATGTACATTGATCAATTCAACTAGCTTAAAGTTCACTCCTATTCTTAAATCATCAAGAATATTGTAAACTAATGGGTAAACAAGTCTTTCAACTTCTTTTACAGTTCAAGTAGCAAATTTGTAAAATCCTCTATCGAGCAAACCTTCTAGTTCACTGATGATATCATAATATTCTTCAAATAACTAACTTGTAGAAGCTGTATACTTTGGTATCACTGTAGTCAATAATTAATCCAGTGAACTTTAGCCTTCTCAATTTACAATTCAACCCCAGAACTATCAAGTGGGGATCTAGACAAGCTATATATTCACTTTCGATCCTAATAACTATGTTCAAAATATGCAACTCTTTATAATATTCCCAACAGAGATTAAGATGCCTTCTCAAGATAATGCAACAACTTGCACAGCATTATTTGGTGTTTCTTCAGATTTTTCATGTTTCTACAATGCCACTAATAGGACATTAAGATTAGTTGGAGCATTTCCATATGAAACAGAACCTAAGAAGATTTAGTTCTCAGTTAGTTAAATTACAAATCCTACTCAGATAATAAAAACATCCTCATTCCTTGTTTACACAATGACATCAGACTTCTACATGATCGACTTTAAAAATACAAGCTTATACATTGATTTTGCATGCTCTTTACCATGTAGGACATGTATACCAACAGATATTAAAGGCTGCTCAACTTGTTTTAATCCCCTAACAGGTAACGCTTCTTTAACAAGCAAGCCCTACATTAATAATGAGTAATGTATTGAATAGTGCCCTATTTCAACATTTGCAGATAATAATGATTATACATGCATCTCTTGTTATTCAAAGCTGTGCACTTCCTGTAAAGGTTCAAAAGCCCTATAATGCACTAGTTGTGTAGAGGAGGCAACCTTGATAAATGGAAATTGTGTAAAATACAATGACATCCCCTATTTCATGCCCTTTTTCATGTTTTCATGTCTTTGGATTATTGTAGTATTTATTGTGCTCTTGGCTTGTCATGATGCCAAAACTTAATTTATTCCCTCAGCTATCGTTGGATGCAGTATCTTTGAGTGGCTTTTGATGTTTGTAGAAGTTGCTGTGTTTAATTATTATGGATTTATTTTGAATGCACTTATTGTTGCTGGTGCAATAGGACTGAATTTCATAATAAATTTTGGATTTTTTATTAGCTATTTGAAAGTACTTATTAAAAATGAATAGGTGAAGGAAAATAAAAATTCACATAAATTTACACATATAATTATTATGATATTCTCAGTATTTGCCTCTTCCAGAATATTTAAGCTTTTATACTCAAATTTTGCAGATAAGAATTCCTTAAATAACCAAAAGATGTTTGATAGTTTAAGAATAAAGAGAGTTTATTAAGTCATAAACTATCTTTCTCTACTACCAACTTCGATATTACTAATCAATTCGATTTATAATTTATCGCTAAGTGCTGGACTTGATTTGAAATTTACAATGCTTTTATGCATAGAAAGAATTTTGCTTTCATTAACTGTTACTGTGCTTTTGATTTTAGAATTCTTACCTTGCTTTTAAAAACGATTGACAAAAGTTTAGAGATTTTTGGATTAAAAACTAAAGCCTTATTACCCATAAGAAAAATATAATGAATTAGGAAATACATCAATGATAACAATGATAGATGCAGATCCTGATAAAAGTAGTGATAAAATCATATAGACATTTGATCATATTGACAGAATATCTGCTATAAGGCATTTATTGAACAACCTAAAACATGTTAAACCTTAGCAACTTGAAAATAAACTTTAATAATTATTAGATGAGGAAGAATAGAAGTAGTTGTCTCTGAAATAAAGAAGAAAATCTGATCCTGCTCCATTCTCTAAGGATCACCCAAAGTCTCATCATTTTAATATTAACTAAATGCAAAATTCTACTCTTAAAAATAACATGACTTCTGAGATAGGCCTTTTAGATTTAAGTGAAAACGATCAAGGCTAGGAAGATGATGCAGAAAGGAAAATAATGAGTTATCCTCTGACTCCTACAAGGGAGAAAAAATACATAATTAATGATCAGAGTGAATAATTTATACAACAGCTGTAATTTAATGCATAGCAACTAAGACTCGATAGATCAATTACTACACCTTTCAATGTAGATACATTTCGATAAAATATGGAATAAGAAATTTAAATGAGAGATTAAGAAATACATATGAGTAAAGATCTTTCAAAGTAAACACTTGAAGATGAGATGCTTTAAATAGAAAAAGAAAAAGCACAGCTTGCTAAGTTAAATGAGGAGTTAAAGTAGCAAAGACTGGAGTTAGAGAAAGAAAGAGCTGAAATTGAAAAAATGAGATTGGAAGGATCTAAATCAGCAAGAGGATCAAGAAGTGATAAAGACAAATTGGAAGGGATTGAATATGAAGATTTGATGGCAAAAAGTGTAAAAGGAGAAAAAAAAAGAATTAAATTAGCGAATACAGATCTGTTTGCAGTTAGAGAAACTGAAAATGAAGATGGAATAAATTCGAAGAAGAGAGCAACATCAATCGATTCAAATAGCCAGAGAATTACTTAAAGATCAAGAAACAATAAGCTTGTGAACAAAGATCGTTCTTAAAAATCTATTAATTCAGAAAGGAATCATGGAAGTCATTCACATAGATGCCACGGGCATAGTTAGGCTACAATAGTATCAGTAAACAAATTGAGAACAAAAGGATTAGGTAGCCGAAGTTCCTCTATCGCAGACTTCAATAGTCCAAGTAAAATTCAAGGTAAAATTTCTACAAATAGTCTCTTGAATAATCAGAAGAAAAGTAATGCTGCCATCAGTCAAACTAAGAAAGTTGGCACTAAAATTTACTACAGCGATAAGAGTGAGTCTAGTGTTGATGACTTAATGGATGAGACACCAACAACTTATAATCTGGCCAATGGAAGATTGGATGGAAAATCAATTGGATTTAGATTTGGAAGGAATGTTCTACTATAGGGGTAATCACCTGAGAAATTAGATGTTTTTGTTGAGCAATAAAGGATGAATGGATAGATGAGTGATAGAAGTAACAGCAATAAAAAAATCGCTAAGATCAAAAAGAAAAAGTTTAGAAATGATCCTGATTCTGAGGACCTTGATAAAAATAGCAATATTAATGATTCATCACTTTTCAATTTAGAGGGATCTCAAAACTTAATTGAAGATTATTCAACACAGTCATACAACAACATTAGAGGGTAAAGAAGAAATTTAATCAATTTACAGCCAAACTCCTCATATATAGGAGTCAATGATTAAACGGATCCAAATATCAACTCTATGGTTACGATGGGGGAAAATAGCAACTATTTTATAGACAGAAATTAGTCTTTGTAAAATTAAGCTAATACAATAACAGGCTTGCTGTATGGCAATTAGAGAATAGAACAAAATAGAGCCACATCAACATTAAGTAATAAATCCAATGCTGGAGTTGTTAATTTCAGTCAAAGTAAGGGTTAGTAAAGAGAACGTATCAAAGCCTTGGAAGTGGCCTATTTAACTAAACTTGTACCTATGAAATCTCCTTAGAGAGGAAGTACTACCAATCTATTAAATGCTAGTAATATGAGTGGAGTTAATACTACCACGAATGGACAAGCTTAGAGAATGAGCATTGCAGCTAGGACTACTAATTTGACTCCAGATATAACATCTAAAATTACAGGAATGCAAATTATACACCCACCTCAAATTAATAATTTTTAGTAATGAAGATGGCGCCTTCATAAATATATTTAACAACAAAATTAAATGATTTATCAATTTAAATAAATTTATTCTTGATTTAATAAATAATTTTAAAGGTCTTAATATTAGCTCTGTGGGGTTTTGGGGTTTTGGGG